AAAAACCCCTTTCCAAAAATTTCAGGATCTTTTAAGATCATTACAAGGTATCATACAAAAAAAATTGAGTCAAAATTTTAAGGACGATCTTCATTTTTGACAATTTTCAAAAATTCAAAATTTGACAAATTTGGCATTTTTCGAAATTTTTTTTCAAAATATTTTTTTTTCAATAGCCCCAAGTGTCCCATTTTAAACAAACAAAAGCCCATTCCTGTATCTATAATAGCATTCGAGATATTGCAAAAACAAAATTGAAAAACTGGAAAAATCGCGAAATTTTGAATTTGTATATCTTTCGAAAAAAATTATTTATTTTTTTTCCTTTGGCAGAACTTTGTTTTATGATAAAAGAAAACTTCTGACCAAAATTCATCCAAATCGAAAGGGGTCGATTCCAACTACTGGTCGATTTGACATGGAATGACCGAACTAAGATATTGAATGACATGAGTTTCTTTTATGAAGTCCATCACCAACTTTCATATCATCAGTGTAAGATTTAACTACAATCATTTAAATTTATATTCTTACTTAATTATACCATTTTTATTTTTAGATAACGGAGACCAGTTAATTTAAGACTGCAATACGTTTCAGACATACAATTCTTCACTAACAATTCTTCTCTAGCAGAAAATATTAATGAGAATGATTCGGAAATTGATGATAATGAAGAACGGGAACAATTAGAAAGTAAAAATGAATCTACTATTGCAACGGATGAACTATCTACTGATTGAAATAAAATGTTAATAATTCTTAAAGTTAATGATTCTTAATAAGTTCATAATATTAAGTTAATGATTCTTAAAAATAATAAAAATAATAACGGATTTACGATCATAATATTTTATAAAATAAAATTTGCTATTAGTTTAATTAATTAATATATATCCGAACAAAAACAGTTTCACTGTAAAAAAATCGCGCCAAGTCCACGTTCATAAGACTATTAAGAAAAAAAAATTAGTTTTTTCTTTACAAAAAGATATAAAATAAAAAAATTAAAAAATCCAAGTAACCGATATGATTGTTTATGATTTTCGGAAATTAAAAAAAATTTTGTTGTAAATTTAAAAATTAAAAAAACAATTTTGGAACGTATTTAGTGTGCGTTGTTGCGAAATATTTTACTTTTAATTAAATTCGTAAAATCTATTTACTAGGACTTTAAAAAAATTGAAATGCACAATATGACGAGGATTTGTATAGGTATATGTACCAGGATTTGGAGGTAAACATGAAATGCTTGCATACACTGCACCTGTATTTGCTAAACCTCCATGACTTCCTAAAGGATTGTTGTTTTCATAATTATCATAAATCATAATATACTATTAACGGTAACACGAATTTATCACCAAATGATTTTTTTTTCTCTTTCCATAAAGTACCTTGAACGACATTCTGAAGTAGTGGAGATTCATTTGGCGAACTATTGAAATATTCCGTGATATATCACATCTGTTATATATATCATGCTGTATACAGTCCAAAATATTTGGAAGTTCCAAAAAATTTTTCAACGTCTTCTTAAGTGAAACATTCAACGGTAACTGGAATTTTGACAAGAATTGTTGTGGCTTCACTATTTCGGAAGTCTTCTCTTTCTCCGATCATTATTGTTTCCGGAAGAATATGTGTACCATCACGTTCAAAAGTGGCCAGTCGTTTAAATTCAGTTGATAAGTTCTTAAAGGGATCAAATAAAGTATCTTGAATTTTTTTTTAAATGATATATATTTTCGCTTCGTTCTCCAAAATCTTCCAAGCGCTGTATCAATCCTGTAATAAATGTATTTATAGAAGAATTCTTAAAAATGTCAGAACTGTCTGATGTTTTGTACACGAATACGAGATAAATCATTATAACTATAGAGATTAGAAATAAATGATAATGACTGTTAAGTCATACAATCGCTTAAAAACGGTCAGTTGAAAAAGTTATCGTATTTTGTATTTGAAGTCATATTTAAATTATTAAATATTTCAGTTTTTTGAAAACAGTAGAATCAGGGTGCATTCCGAAATGCACTACAGTAGCTGTAGCTGCAGCTGATTTTTGGCGCCCTATTTTTGTGGGAAATTTTCAAATTTCAAATTTTAAATATTTTTTTTATTTTGTTAATCGAAAACATGGAGTATTTTGTTTTTTTGAGTTAATGAAATCGATTAAGCATATATTGTAATAATTACCATTGATTAAATGATTGTTGTTTACATTTCCTATAAATTTAAATTGCGCGCCACGTGCGCCTTAGCATTTTGACCTATAGGTAGAGTATCGGACATAGTGACTACATTTTCCGATAGATCGATACTGACTAACTTCATACGTAATTGAATATCAACACATAAACAAACACAAGGTTTCTATAACAATAGATTATTATCATTATTGTTTTTTAAAAAAGTTTCCACTGTTATATGACAGTTTCAACAGTCAAAAGTTTTCAGTGTTGTTGAATATAGTTATTATTTTATGAAAACATGGATAAAAGTGAATTTTGCAACAATTCCGAATTGCGAACAATTGAACTTGTCGATGAGTATGGACGATCTCATTTACTAACTTTAAGTAAAGCTGACGCTTTGCGGGCTTTAAATGGTAAGTAATCGTTTGAAATATTTATGTGATTAACTACTATCATATCAATATTATTATTGTAACAAATATTAACTATTACATTCCATTTTTTTATATTTACCTTTCGTTACTCGCGCTCGCGGGGATTCTCCGCACAACACTACTTAACCTAATAGAGTTGGCATGAGTACGAGTGAGACACTAGAGAAAGCGCGACTAACGGAAGGTTAATTTACTAAATATACTTTACAGATCTCACGTTTGCTACTTCACTGCTTGACGGTGTAACTAAAGGAGAATCTTTTGTTATTTTAGAAGATGACCAAATTATTGCTTTGGACAACATAGCTGACTCTGATTTTACTACTTCTCGCACTAGCATTACTCCTACTAAGATTTCTCGTACCAGCACGTCTCGCACCGGCAGTTCTCGTGCCAGCACTTCTCGTACCAGTACTTCTCATACCAGTACTTCTCGTACCAGCACTTCTCATGCTAGGATTTCTCATAAAACAAATTCAACTGATTATAGGAATAATTTTCTACATGATAATATATATCACTCATCTGAAGAAGAGTCAGATCATTTCGTTCATAATGCAGACGAATTTATTCCTGATCCTAAAGAAGTTGATATTTCGTCGAGTAGTGAAACTAATAGTAATGTCGATGAATTTGAAGATGAAATTCGACCCAAGGATACAAAAAATACGAAAGACGGTGGTAAGTCAAAAAATTTATTTTTTGTTTGAGTTTTAACAATTTTATGATAATTTTGAATATTTTTTAGATTATTATTCTTGGTCGGAGGAAGCTAGTAAACTATTAATATATTTATTTAAGCAAGAAAACGTTACTGATTATACAAAATTCAGAGGCAAAAAATCACTGAAGCCTAAGTTTTGGACTCATATCTCTAAATTAATGCAAGAACAAGGCTATTTAGTATCTGGTCGTAAATGCTCTTTGAAATGGTCTAGTCTTCTTAGACACTATAAAAGTATTAAGGATCATAACGCAATATCGGGAAATAACCCTGAAAAATGGGACTTTTATGAAGTAAGCTCACATTACTAATCATTTTAAATTGGAGTAATATTGTCAATTTATCTTCAGGAATAGTGAAGTTTGACTTGGCTAATTCTCATCGCTTCGGCCATAAACAAATTTCTGGTAATAATTTTTAGAGTTAATTGTTTTTTTAATTTCAATATTAATTGTATTTGTAGAATTTAGATAAAATACTGAGCGAGAAGCCGTATATTAAACCAGTCTCAGTGGCTTCATCGGATGATAATCGTGAAAAAACACCTGAAGCAGATATGACTGGTTTGTTTTTTCAAAAATTATATTGTTTTATTGAGGTATTATGTTCAATGTTATATAAGATTAAAAATTACAGAAAAGACACCAAAAAAGAGAAAATCCCAAACGGACGTGGTACTTGAGTATTTAAAAGAGTCTCAGGCAGAGAGACGGGAATTGCAAAAGAACAAAATTAAGGCGTTAAATTTTATTAATAACTTGATGGAAAGATATGTAAGTTTATACGAAAAAAACTAATATTAGACAAAGGAAAATTTAGTGATTCCTTTTAATTAAAAAATGTTCCTTTTAATGAAAAAATGTTCAGTATTTGTTTTATTATTGTTACAATAATAATTGTTTTGTTATTTATGGTTAAGATATTTATTCAGAAAAACTAGTTTTGATGAAATTATTCAGATTATTAAACGGATAGATAAGTTTAATCAGTGAAAAAAAAGAATTAATATGAAATAAAAAGTTGTAATTTTCATTAGAATTTTGAGAATTAATATAAAGCTAATTACATATAAAGTTACTAAAACATAAAATTTTACTAATTATTTATTTTCGTACTTTGTTACTATTATTTTGAATTATTGTTGTTATTTGTTCAAAATTAAAGAGTTAAATAATTGTATTAATATAATATGACAATAAATTAAACTACAAGAAATAAAAGCAAATGTTTTTTGTTATTAATTCATTAATTTTATTAATTAAATAGGGTAAATGCACCAATTATTGACCGATTAAGGTTTTCTTTTTCTGTACTAAGCTATAAAAAATCTATTAATCTACTAAAAAAAATTTGTAATAGATTTTACTAAAGATAAATACTTAATTAATAATAATTAATAACTATTTATAGTAAAAATTAACAAAATTATATTAATTTTGTCATTTAAATCTTGAAATGCTAAAATCACCAATTGTTGACCGAAGAAACCCAATAAATGACCGACCGTTCTCCAATAAACTGACCGCTCAAATAATTATAAGTAATTTTGTAAACTATTATTTTTAAACCCGTTCCTGCCATTACGGTCATTTTTTGCTAGTATAATTCTAATTCAAGTAGATGGTAATATTCCATCATCACTAACAATTTGGGACAAATCGTCCCTTGGAGAGTTAGTCGATGGGGTAACCATCGAACTTGAACACTAGTTAGCTGGTGAATGTTAGTATCTGTTCGATTCTATTTTTTAAGTATCAACGATGGAAAAAACCACTGAGAATAAAGAGCAACTTTTGAAAAAATCCGTGAAAAATTAACCAAGCCAGGAATCGAACCTGGATCTTCCCGATTACATGTCAGGCTGCTTTTACCGTTAAGCTACCGGGTCATTCTCCACTCACTCTCTCTTGGTATACTCTTAACTCTCAGTAGTTGTTAATACTTACTTCCCCCTCTTAAACTCTATACTACGATGGTAGTTGTAGTACTTTTGTTTCTAGGCACTTTTTCAAATTTTGACTATTTATTAATTTTCCGACCGTGATAATTATAATTATTTTTTAAACCCGTTCCTGTCATTACGGTCATTTTTTGCTAGTATAATTCTAATTCAAGTGGATGGAAGTAAGTATTAACAACTACTGAGAGTTAAGAGTATACCAAGAGAGAGTGAGTGGAGAATGACCCGGTAGCTTAACGGTAAAAGCAGCCTGACATGTAATCGGGAAGATCCAGGTTCGATTCCTGGCTTGGTTAATTTTTCACGGATTTTTTCAAAAGTTGCTCTTTATTCTCAGTGGCTGTCCGTCGTTAATAGTTAAAAATTGAACTGAACAGATACTAGCATTCACCAGCTTAAAACTAGTGTTCAAGTTCGATGGTTACCCCATCGACTAACTCTCCAAGGGACGATTTGTCCCAAATTGTTAGTGATGATGGAATATTACCATCCACTTGAATTAGAATTATACTAGCAAAAAATGACCGTAATGACAGGAACGGGTTTAAAAAATAATTATAATTATCACGGTCGGAAAATTAATAAATAGTCAAAATTTGAAAAAGTGCCTAGAAACAAAAGTACTACAACTACCATCGTAGTATAGAGTTTAAGAGGGGGAAGTAAGTATTAACAACTACTGAGAGTTAAGAGTATACCAAGAGAGAGTGAGTGGAGAATGACCCGGTAGCTTAACGGTAAAAGCAGCCTGACGTAATCGGGAAGATCCAGGTTCGATTCCTGGCTTGGTTAATTTTTCACGGATTTTTTCAAAAGTTGCTCTTTATTCTCAGTGGTTTTATCCATCGTTGATACTTAAAAAATAGAATCGAACAGATACTAACATTCACCAGCTAACTAGTGTTCAAGTTCGATGGTTACCCCATCGACTAACTCTCCAAGGGACGATTTGTCCCAAATTGTTAGTGATGATGGAATATTACCATCCACTTGAATTAGAATTATACTAGCAAAAAATGACCGTAATGACAGGAACGGGTTTAAAAAATAATTATAATTATCACGGTCGGAAAATTAATAAATAGTCAAAATTTGAAAAAGTGCCTAGAAACAAAAGTACTACAACTACCATCGTAGTATAGAGTTTAAGAGGGGGAAGTAAGTATTAACAACTACTGAGAGTTAAGAGTATACCAAGAGAGAGTGAGTGGAGAATGACCCGGTGGCTTAACGGTAAAAGCAGCCTGACATGTAATCGGGAAGATCCAGGTTCGATTCCTGGCTTGGTTAATTTTTCACGGATTTTTTCAAAAGTTGCTCTTTATTCTCAGTGGTTTTATCCATCGTTGATACTTAAAAAATAGAATCGAACAGATACTAACATTCACCAGCTAACTAGTGTTCAAGTTCGATGGTTACCCCATCGACTAACTCTCCAAGGGACGATTTGTCCCAAATTGTTAGTGATGATGGAATATTACCATCCACTTGAATTAGAATTATACTAGCAAAAAATGACCGTAATGGCAGGAACGGGTTTAAAAAAGAAATAATATTATAAATAATAATTTATATTTTAGATTAAATATTGTTTGAGTTCATTTTTGTATTTTTAGAAATAAATGAAAACATTTCAATAAACGGAAAGGTGGACTAAGGAGAGTCCATTTTTATCGTGATTTCTTACACTGATAGAAAAATTTGTTTATAGTTAAAAATATTTGTTAATAGAGACCTCTTTTTAGTCCTTGACAAATATTTCTTAGTATTTAAAAAGATTTATTAATATTTAATAGATGAATATCAGATTTATTCAATACAAACAAATCATTTTAAATACTAAGAAATATTTGTTTAATACTAAAAAGTGGTCTCTAATAAATGATTTGTTAACCATTAACAAATATTTTTTAATACAAATAAATCCTCCTATCAGTGTACATCTAAATAAGGTATTTTTTATCTCTATCCTTTCATATTACTACCAGAGATTATTAATGAAAAAGTTTTACTTTATAAGTCATCTATGACCCGTCATATTTATTCAATAAACGTTCGAGAACTATTGATTTTTTTGTTCTTAATAATAAATTCCGGGTCATCCGTGCCAAAAAATTTTTTGTAAATTGTAATAAATTATTCGCTTTTGCAATATAATGAACTTCATACTGATAATATACAATTTTTCAACTGATAATCTACCATTTTTTTTTTATTTTTTTCTTAACGAACAAAATATAACAACTTTAATTGAAAAAAAATTAAAAAATTTGAATTTGTGACTAGCCCGCCAAAAATTAAAATAACGAAAATACAAAAATTATTGCAGGCATAGCTCCGCATTATGAATGGGTCGTTTGTAGGTTACTGTACAGTGAAAATTATTGAAAAATTATTATTTAAAAAGTAAATGTTTATTTATTCTTCCAGCATCTACCGTTGAAGATTGAAGTTATGCTGACTTATACAAGTATACCCTTTGATATCTTTAAAAAAATAGGATATTTTGTGAGAAATAATTATTCAGCTTAAATAAAATGAAAAATATAACAATTTTCAACAAATAAAAAATAAAAATTTGAATTTTAGACTATCCCGCCAAAAATAAAAATTAAAATAATAGATAAATTATGGCAAGCAAAGCTCCGCATTATAATCAGATCGTTTGTAGGTTACTGTACAATGAAAATTATAAAAAAATTTTTATTAAAAAACTAAATGTTAACTTAGTCTCCCAGCATCTGGTAGTAAAGATTAATATTATCGAGACTTTTCGGAGAATACTCTTTGATTTCAATTGAAACATTACTTATTTAATGAGAAACAATTATATTCTACCAATAGACTAAAAAAGATAACAACTTTGATTGAAAAAAATTTAATAATTTGAATTTTAGACTATCCCACCAAAAATAAAAATAACGAAAATAAGAAAATTATTGCAGGCATAGCTCCACATTACGAATGGGTCGTTTGTAGGTTACCTATCAATAGAATTTATAAAAAAATTATTATTAAGATAGTAAATGCCGAGTTATTCTGCCAGCAACCAGGAGTGACAATGAAAGTCATTCTGATTTGCCCAGGTATACTCTTTAATATTTATCAATACATTACATATTTCATAAGAGAAGGTTATTTCGTCAAAATAACATAAAAAAAAATATAACAATTTTAAAAAGATAAAAAATAAACAATTAGAATTTTAGACCTTCCCGCCAAAAATTATAATTAAAAAAAATACAAAAATTATTGCAGGCAATGCTCTACATTATGAAAAGTTTGTTTGTAGGTTACTTTTCAATTGAAATTGTGTCGGTCATAAAATCGTAGATTCACTTGCGTTTGCACCGTATATATTCTGTTAATTCACAGTGAATATCGTTCACAACTGTATCCGATGCAGACTGACAACTCTCTCGGTAACAACGGACTTTATACGGTGAAACGACTGTGGAACGACCGTGAAACAACCGTCAATCGACTGTGCTTTCACCGTGTTGCCGAAACCGCCAGGGTTAAAGTAATCGACGAATATATTTTCATTCACAAATTTATTTATTTATTAAAATTGGTTTATAAAAAGTTTTTACAAAGTTTGATTTAAACTATCACAATTTTATCCTAATTTTGATATGCAACTCTGATTTTTTTGTTTATGAATCTCATTATGTGTTTTACACAAAAAAAGTATGGATTTTTTAGAAGTAAAATATTAATTAATGAAAATAATTTTATCATATTTTACTATAGTTTTAAGGTTGATGGCTAATTTCTTGTTCAGATAACGAGAAAAGTAAATTTAAAGCTTACCTGAAAAACATGGAATTTTTTTAAAACTATAATAATAATTAATAATGATTTTTGAAAATTATTCAGATAATTTATTTACCATTCAAATGGACAATAACACTTGACAATTATGAAGTTACAGATAATTTATTATCCTTTAAAAAACAAGTAACTATTTTTTAGCTCTATTTAAATAATAAAATAATTTTCGCTGAAAATTCGCATCAGAATTGAATGATCAGTGTTGTAGCAATAATAAAAAAAATATTTGAACACATTTTAAAGTATTTTTGGACGTTTAAAGAAAACTAAAGTAAAATGTATAGGATTGAATAATTTTAGTTAATAAGTAAGTACGTCTAAGAAGTTCAACTTAAAAAAAAAAAATAATTAATCAAGTAGAAAAAAACAAGTTCATGCAGAACTGATGTTGAACAATCCAAGCACAAAAGATAGTTTGTATTTAATTATTCACGCTTTTTTTTTTTTAAAGAATCTCGAATGGTACAACACATACTCCCTACGATTCCTTGATATTCGTCCAACTCCAATTCATGACCACTCGCAACTTTTTGATTGACATATACTGACAATAAATAAAATAATAAACGTGTATATCTATCAAAACGTAATTAGAATATAATACTGAATAAAAATTTAAAAAAATACCATAAATCGCCTCATAAATGTCAGTTGGTATCAACTCACGACCTTTAATTTTTTTTACGGGTACCATAGTAGCAAGTCTCTCTTCTCCTATAATAGCTTTGAATAAAAGCCTTGTCATCTGTTTCGCATTTTTCACATTATTTTTTGTAATTAATTCTAGCTTAAATCGATTCCTGATTATTCCAGAATCAGCTACCAATTCAGCCTTCAGAATAATAACAAGAATTAGCAATAAAGAACTATTCTAAGTTGTAGAGCAATTCTACTTGTACCTGTTTAGTACTTTTCTTTTTTACAACTTTTTCACTACTGCGTTTTTTTTATGGTTCATGTTGAACCATTGATTTTTTTTCTTTAAATTCTTTAAATCTCAAGAATTCCTCGTACAACTCCATGTCTTGAAAATAAATAAAATTATTAGGTATAAAATATTTAAATAAAATAATTGAAACAAAAATAATTATTTTCGTAAACATAAAATTATTAGGTTTGAAAAATTTAATCGAGATTGATGACATTACTATTGAAAGTTAAAAAACTTATTGAATAGTAAATATTATAACTTTTACAAACCACTATCATATTTATTTGAACTTTTTGGTTTTTGTATTCCAACGTATTTGGCAGATGAGGGAGTTTCTAGAGAAGTAAATCACAGATATAAACAATTAACTATATTGAATAAGTAAGTGTTAAACTCTACAACAATTATTAACTGAAAAAAGTGATTCAAACTCTTTTTTTTATCATTTTTGCCAAATTTATGTAATTATAAAATTTTCAGAATAAGTGATAAACTAAACTGTAGGAATTATATTACCTGAAGCAATATGTTTTTTATTAGTCAGTTGAAAGTCTTTCCTAGGAGTGATTTTGGTTGAAGCATCCAATGAAGAATCAGTATTTATCGTAGTTTCAGACTTATTATTATCGATAGGACTTGAAGATAGGTGCAATTCTGAAAGAAAAAATTCAAAATTTATGAGATTCGAGAAATAAAACTTCATAACATTAATGACACGAGAAAACCTTTCATACTCTTGCTTTTATGATCTTTTTTGGGAGTCACACCAATAGGAATATCGATCTCAGAATCAGTGGTATCCTGAGATTGTGATATATTTTCTCTCACTTTTTTAGGGCTTAACGACTTCCCTATAGAAAAAATTAAATATTTATATACAAATAAAACTTAGACAATTAGAGCGAAATAAAACTCTGCAATTACAATGAAACTGTCAAAACCGTACTTTTCCTTGTAGAATCGTTTTTTGGAGTGATGTCTTTGGAACAGCCTGCTCTAACATCGTTTAATACAATAGATTTCGTCTTGTTTTGATTTGCTTTCTTGAAAGGTGTCAAATTTACTGAGAAAGGAAAAAATTAATATATATTTACAGATTGAAGAAGGTAATTTGAAGATAAATAAAACTATAATATATGTCAATAAAATAAAAAAAGAACATTTCATACCCTCTTTTTTACCATCTCTTTTTGTCAAAACGCAAGAAATATTTGACTCATATTTAGTGCAATCCGGAGATTTCGGAATGTTCCCTTTATTTTTCTTTGAACTTGGAAAATCTGAACTTTTTCTTCTATTATCATTTTTTGGAGTTATGTCCTTGGAGCAGCCTGCTTTAACATCGTTTACTGCAGAAGATTTCAGCTTATTTTCTGTAATTTTATTGAGTGGTGTCAAATTTTTTATAAAAAAAACAATAATTATGCAATAATTAAATTTTAAAAATCATAATAAGATACAATATTGATGAGATATAAGAACACGTTATACAATTTCTTTACCATATTTTTTTCGCATCAGTTTTGTGGAGATATCAGAATCCGAGTCGGTGTCACTCAAAGATCTTGACTCCATGACTTTTAAGTTTTGAGTAGGCATATTCTCTACAGGCAAAATTTGATCTTTATATACTGCTAAAAATTGAATGAGATAAAACTCGATAAAAATATTGAATCACATAAACCTACTCTTTCTCTTACTACCAGTTTTTGGAGTATTATTAGATGAATGAACTGCGTCAACGTTACTCAATCCTGCTTTTATCATCATTTCTTTTGTAATTTTCTTGACTGGCGTCAAATTGTCTATTAAACAAAAAAAAAATAACTGTATAATAATTCAATTTGAAAAATTAAAATGAAATACTGTATATAATAATGAAAAAATAGAGTACTCTTAATGTAATTTTTTTACCATCTCTTTTTTGCATCGGTTTTGTAGATATATCAGAATCAGATAAGTCTGTGTCATTCAAAGATCTCGGCTTCACGACTCCTGCGTTCTTAGAATTCAATAAATTTCCTGTAGGAAAAATTACGTATTCATAGACAGGTGAAATTAAAAAACTTTTAATTAGACTATAGTTGTATTGGCAGAAATATTGACCCAAAAAAGAAACATACTCTTTCTTTTACTACCAGTTTTTGGAGTCATTTCTAATGAATGAACTGCGTCGATGTTACTCAATCCTACGGTTTTCAGCTTCTCATCTGTAATTTTCTTCAGTGGCATCAAATTGTCTGTTAAAAAGAAAATAATTATACAATAATTGAATTAAAAAAATCAAAATTTTATATAATATTGATGAAAGAATAAATCACACTCCATGTCGTTTTTTACCATCTTTTTTGAGCATCTCATCTATGGAACTGTCGGAATCAGAATCAATGACACCAGAAGATTTTTGCTGTTCGACTTCCATTCTCTTCGGAATCGGCAAATTCCCTACAGGCAAAATTAGGTATTTGTTTAAAAACGAAATTTTTAAAATTTGAATTAGATAACCGTATACAACATCATTTATCAAATCAAAACATTTTGTACTTTTGCTTTCCTCATCTTATTTATAAATTATATCCTTACCGCTGTCAGAATCAGAGTCACTCGGATTTGCAGTTCCGGCCTTTTTTTCTTGCAGATCTTTTTCGTTGCTTTCGTCACTAAAAATTGACGGTAGATCGAGTAAATTGATATCGTTACTTCGAATTTCAGGAACATCATTTTTAACACGACGTTTGGTGGTCTTTGTTTTATCAGCAGTAATCATATTTTTTTTTTCTTTATAACAATTTCTCCACTTTTGTCAACCTCGACCATTTGCAGAAATGTTTTGTCATCTGTTCAAATTAAAAAATTTTATTAGTAAGTAATTGATAATTTTAATAATAAGTAATTACTCAAAATATAAAGAATAAAATGATTTAAGACTGTACCATCTTGCATCAATATTTTTATCGGAGTGTAAGAGTTATTTTTTCTCGCTGATGCACCATTTTTTTTGGAGTGTTTAATACTGCTGGTCTTTATGACTGATGCTGTTTGCAGGGTTGTCCAAAATACAAGACTATACGTTTTTTTATTAGACATTTTCTCAATGTTTCACTTAGTTAATCTGAAAATTGTGACAGTTAAATAAACTCAAATAAAAATAAATGAAACTCTATAAATACAAAAGAAATTTTAATAAAAAACATTCTTTTGTTATCTGATGTTGACGCTTAAAAATTTATATATTTCAATGTAAATTATTTGAAAAATTGAGCTAAATATTAAAGAGATCTACATTTTTAAATATGTTTATTCACAAAAACTTTAAAGATCTTTCAAGATCCACTCAATATCGGCTCCAGAAAGCATTGTTTTCTTTAACTTCCAGTGATGAAGATACAGATCATGATTTTGAAGAACCAGTTGACATATGTAAGAGATCATGCAAAATTTTATATTAAAAGCTCTATTTTTTAATTAGATGTAAGGACAGAAATAAATGTCAACAAATCATTACCTTTAATAAATTGAGGTTATCTTGTAAATAACTTTAATTAGCTAACACCCATATCGAAGCTCTAATATTCTTGATCATTAACAGAGTTTTTCACTTTTGTTTTTTATAATAATACTTCAATTCGTCACACTTATTATTTTTCACTATAATTCCTTAAGTCACTTAAAAAGTAATTAGTTTACGATGTTTATTTAAATTTAGAAATGTCATAATGTTATACTACGCGATGAATTAACCTCTTGTACTTAATTTAGGTACATTAAAATGTATAAATAAATATAATTGGTGTTTACTTATGAAGAAAGAAAAGTAATAAGTATCACTCATATTTACTTGCGAAGAAAGAACGATAAAAACAATATATCACTGATCGGTAATATAGATTTACTTAAGTAAATTATCAAAATCATTGACGCAGTCTCTTTAGGGCCTCTAGCGTAGAGAATAGATATTTATATGGTTGGTATTTCTAGTCTGACAGCCTGCAATGTTTTTATGAGTTGTGATGCACCCAGTGCATCCAACAGGTGACGCTACCTGTTATTAGAGCGCTATCTATTATGAGAGCGCGAATTCAAACGAAATATTGAAACTAGTAAATATTAAATGATTAAAATTAGTTAAATTTTATATTCGAAGTAAATATTCCAGTCCTTTATTTAATGCTTTTACTCTTACCAGTTGTAAAATAAACATCTTTTGGTTAACTCTGTTTTATTTACAAAAGAAAATAAAATAAAATAAAAAAAAAACATATTTCGGTACAAAGGTACATTGTAACCGAATTTTCAAAACCCATAAAAAGTACTTGAGTAATTCAAGGACTCTCGCCAGATGAAACTTAAAACCCTATGAGGAAAAGTCGTAAAAGACACGTGTGAAATTCAATAGACCCTTGTTCTAAAGTAACAAAGAATAATAAAAAAAAAACATATGTAACTAAACAAAAATAATATTGTTAAATAACATTTACTGTTAAAATCTAACTTTATATAATATTGTAGTTAAGCAAAATTGAGTTAAAATAATTAATAATTAGTATCTTATATTTAATTTATAACTAATAATTATTAGTTAACTAATTTACTATTAAATCATTATCTAATTATTATTTAATTTATAATTAAATAATAATATCTATTCTTTTATACAGGATAATAATTAAACTGACTTATAATTTTATTAGAAAACTCGAATGTAAAATGATAGAAATAATATTTAATCCAAATTATTAATTATTCAAACTCAAACATTAGTCCAACATATTATAAATAATATAATATATATAGTTTCATGTTATAGTTTATTATAATTTTATTGTAACTTAATTTCAAGTTAATTATAAGTTAATTTTATTATAAATAGATTTTAAAAAGGGTTTGTTAAATTAATAAGAATAGTTGAATAAACATAATGACTGTATTGCTAAAAGTATATATAAGTGAAGTCCAACTTTCAGGCCGATAGGCTGAAGTAAATATATATAGATATAGAGAAAATACATGTTAGTGTATAAGGATCATTATACATTATTCCTTAGAGTGGATGTATGTGTGGAAGTTATGGTGGGAGAAGAACGGAGTTTGAAGATCTTCGGAAAAACTATGTAACGACACTTCTCATCGAGAGATTAGATTGCTAAGATCACGTCATTGTAAACCTCAATTTTATATTTTCAAGCTTTTAATATCTTGTCAACTTGAATAATAAATTAAAAAGAACTAAATAATTTTGATCAAAATTAAACTACGTCTAAATAGAATTCTTTTATTTAAAATTATTCCTTTCCCGCACTGAAACCGAGTATTTTAATACTCCCGGGCGAAAGAACTACAGTAAGTAAAGTTTTAAATAAATAAAAATAACATCCACTAGATGAAAGCATAACAGTATTATACGTATAGTATTTTACGTGCCCACCCCTGATCAGCCTGATCAGTAGTGACGCTTAGGTGTGACATTAGTAAATGGGCGTGTTCGACCAACAAAAATTTCTAATTTTGTACTTAATTTAGTAAGTTATTAAAGTTGTAAGTGTACGCATGTGTACTAACTCACAGTTACAACTTAGGTGAACCGAATGCATCCATTGCCGACGAATTAACAAATGTACTTAGTATACATAAAAGATTAGTATACATCAAAAACGGGACTTGGCGCCAAACTTTACCGGGTCTGTGGATTGGTGACGTTGCAATAAATTTAACATAACCTAACTATTCACATAATGAATAAAATTAGTAAATTATTTTTTTTTTTAAAGTTTATTTATTATTAACAAGATATTGATTGATTGTAATAATTTACAACTTTAATATCTTCAATAGACGAATGTATACATGTCTGAATATACGTTTATATTTATATTTCTGTATATTTTTATATTTATTAATGTTTAATTAGAAAATAACATTACATATATCTGAAGACAGAAATATACATGTATATACGTAAGTATATATATTTATATATTTGTACTGAATAGCAATATGACTGTGAATATACAGTTATTTCTTGTATGTAATTTAGGATTTTTTTTTATTCTATTGTAAAAAAATTTCTACTGTAGAAAAGATATTAGAAGTCTGCTGTTTGAGAAAGAAAGAAATGAATACATAAACTGTCTGCAGTGCGGCTGATAAACTATAAAAAGTCTGCTTTGCAACTAAGAAATAGATAGATTAAAAGTCTGCTGTGCGGCTAACAGATGAATATTTTAGCAGTCTGAGGTACGACAAAAAAATAAAGATATTTACAGTATGCTGTGCAGCTAAAGAACTATTAAGTCAGTTTTAAGACTAGAAAATAAAAATACTTAATCTTCTGTGCGGCTAATAAACTATTAAAACTCTGCTTTACGACTAGAAATAATAAAAATTGACAAGTCTGCTATGCGACTGAGCAATAAAAAAATTAACAGTCTGCTGTGCAGCTGAATAAATATAAAAAGTCTGCTGTGTGACCAAGACATAAATAAATTCATAAACTGCAGAGAAAATAATAAATTATTGAATGTCTACTTTGCAAAAAAAAAGATATTAACAGTCTACTGTGCGGCTGATGAACTATTCAATGTCTGCTTTGCGACAAACGAAAATTGACAAGTCTGCTGAGAAACTAATAATTAATACAATAAGAATCTGCTGTGAGGCTGATAAACTATTAAATGTCTATTTTGTGACAAAAAAAAATTTAGAAGGCTGCTGCGCGACTAAAATTAAATAAATTTACAGTCTGCTGTGCGGCTGAAAAATTATTAAATGCCTGCTTTGCGACAAAAAAAAAAATTGAGAGTCTGCTGTGCGATTCAGAATAGATAAATCTACAGTCTGCTGTGCGGCTGAAAAATTATTAAATGCCTGCTTTGCGACAAAAAAAAAAATTGAGAGTCTGCTGTGCGATTCAGAATAGATAAATCTACAGTCTGCTGTGCGGCTGAAAAATTATTAAATGCCTGCTTTGCGACAAAAAAAAAAATTGAGAGTCTGCTGTGCGATTCAGAATAGATAAATCTACAGTCTGCTGTGCGGCTGAAAAATTATTAAATGCCTGCTTTGCGACAAAAAAAAAAATTGAGAGTCTGCTGTGCGATTCAGAATAGATAAATCTACAGTCTGCTGTGCGGCTGAAAAATTATTAAATGCCTGCTTTGCGACAAAAAAAAAAATTGAGAGTCTGCTGTGCGATTCAGAATAGATAAATCTACAGTCTGCTGTGCGGCTGAAAAATTATTAAATGCCTGCTTTGCGACAAAAAAAAAAATTGAGAGTCTGCTGTGCGATTCAGAATAGATAAATCTACAGTCTGCTGTGCGGCTGAAAAATTATTAAATGCCTGCTTTGCGACAAAAAAAAAAATTGAGAGTCTGCTGTGCGATTCAGAATAGATAAATCTACAGTCTGCTGTGCGGCTGAAAAATTATTGAATATCTGATTTGCAACAAAAAAAAAAAAATTAAGAGTCTGCTATGCTGCTGAAAAATTATTAAATGTCTGCTTTGCGACAAAAAAAAAAAATAATAGTCTGCTGTGCGATTCAAAATAAATTATTGAATGTCGGCTTTGCGACAGAAAAAAATTTAAGAGTCTGCTGTGCGATTCAAAATAAACAATTCTACAGTCTGCTGTACGGCTGAAAAATTATTAAATGCCCGCTTTGCGACAAAAAAAAAATTAAGAGTCTGCTGTGCGTTTCAAAATAAGTAAATCTATAGTCTGCTGTTCAGGTGAAAAATAATTAAATTTCAAATTTGCGACAAAATAAAAATTAAATGTCTGCTGTGCGACTAAGCAGTAAAAACTTTAATAGTCTGCTTTGGGACAAAAAAAATTGAGAGTCTGCTGTGCGATATACAATAAATCAATCCACAGTCTGCTGTACGGCCGAAAAATTATTAAATGTCTGCTTTGAGACAAAACAAAATTAAGAGTGCTGTGCGATTCAAAATAAATAAATTTACAGTCTGCTGTTCGTCTGAAAAATTATTAAATGTCTGTTTTGCAGGAAAAAATAAACTATAAACAGTCTGCTGTGTGGCTGAAAAATTATAAAATGTCTGCTTTGCGACAAAATAGTACATTACACCCCTAGGGAAGTAAAGTAAGAAATGTCGGCTTCGCCTCGGCCAACAATTACATGTGATCTGAGGCTTTCTTATTTACTTCCCGAGGAGTGTATACTATTTTTTTCCTCGACGGAGGCGTAAAGTGGCTACTTCGTTAACTGCAAAAAACTGCAATTACAGCAATAAAAAAATTTTTGTGGACGCGGATCACGTATGATTTTGATGTATTTCAATGTGCTGAATTCAAATCTAAAAGTAAATTAGCCCCATGAACCGTCCAAATTTGAAAAAAAAAAAAAAACGAAAAACCTAAAAAAATTGCAATAAATCATGAAAAACTAAAGTTTTCGAAATAAAAATTTTTTTGGACTCAGATTGAGTATGATTTTCATGTATTTTTTTCCGCTGAATTTGAATCTGAAGTTTTCTCGCTCCGTTAACGTTTTAAAATTTTTAAAAATCTCAAAAAACCAAAAAAATCGAGAAAATTGCAGTTACAAATATGAAAAAAAAAAATCTATAAAACATAATTAATAGTAATTTATGTCATATGGCCGCAAAGTGGCGATTTTCTGACAACGACGATGTTGCGATATGAGCTTAAGGTTCGTGGCGGGAATGAACGGAAACGGGCGCAATTTTAACGTCCGAGGTGAAGCCGAGGACGGAAATTTACGGTCGTTTTCGTAAATTCGCGTCACAAACTTTAAAGCGAATATCGTAAAACCGTCGTTGTCAAAATCACCACTTAGTGGCCAAATGACATACAATATTTTTTGTTATTATCGCTCCATAAGTTTAACTTTTGAGGGATAGGAGGCAAATAATGACATTCAAATTTTATGAAGTTTCACAAGAGCAAAAAAACTTAATTTTATATTAATTATCTTTTTATTAATATTTATTTATGACTCACTTGTTATTTTATTAACATTATGTCCGCTTCGTAATAAACTGTCTGCAGAGAAAGAATTAGCGCCACTCAATAGTAACTAAGTTTAAAATTTACTCAAAATCCATCGGTCGGTACACTAGAATTTGATTTATTTTGTTCTAAATTTCATCCGATTGCACAAGGA